GGGGGGGGGGGGGGGCTGCCTGGGTTCCCTCTTGTGTCTTATATCAGGCTGCGGGTCAATGTTGTGTTACCCTATGTGGTTGTGTAATGGGGGGTGTTGTATGTGAGGGGGTGTGGCCCCTCCCCCAGCCTAGCCCTGCCCCCTGCAAGACATCAAGGGGCCCAGCCCCACCCACCGCAGTGCTCCCAGTGCCACCATGGGCCAGCTGCTGCTGGGAGCGCTGCTGGTGCTCAGCTGCCTGGGGATGGGTGAGTGCGGCTGAGTGCCCAGCCCCTGGGTCTGGGTGGGGGGGAGGGCTGGGGAGTCACAGCAGGGAGGGGGGACCCAGACCCTGGGGGGGGGGGCAGTGGGATCTGCAAGGGGCAGGGGAGGGGGACCCAGATGCCTGGGTTCCTCCCTGCCCATCCCAGGACCCACCCCTTGTCCTGAGACTGGCTGTGCCCTAGCGTAAGTTTTTTCCAGAGGAAGGGTGTGTGTGTGTGTGTGTCCTGGATGCCTGGGTTCTGTGTCTGTGTTTGCGTGCATGTGTCCTTGGCACCTCAGTTTTGTGTCTGTATCCTGGACTCCTGGGGGGGGGGAGGGTGTCCTGGATGTGTGGGCTGTATGTGTGCATGTGTGCGTGTGTCCTGGATGCCTGGGTTGTGTGTGTGTGTGTGTGTGAGACCCCTGGGTTCTCTGTGTGTCTGTGTGTCCCAGACCCCTTGGGGGTGTGCGCGTGCACGCATACGCATGTGTCCTTGTTGCCTTAATTTTGTGTGCGTGTCCTGGACACCTGGGCTCTGTATGTGTGTGTGTGTGGGTTGTGTGCGTGTGTGTGTGTCCAGGCATCCAGGACACACGCATGCACACATATATGCATGCACACACACACAAACATATGCGTGCACACACTGTCTCTGTTCCCAGTCTGTGGTTTGGCCAGACCCTGCATTTTCCAGGCAGGGCCGAGGCTGCTGCAGGGCTTGAAAACAACAGTGTGTGTGTCCCCCAGATGCTTGCAGGGGAGGGGGGGTGTCAGACACCTAGGTTCTGTGTGGGAGGGAGGGCAGTGGTGCCTGGGTTGTCTGTGTATGACCCTGTCCAGATGCCGTGTGTGTGTGTGTGCGCGCGCGCGCATCCCAGATACCTGGGTCCCATGCTGGGGTGTGTGTGCCCATGTCAATGTCTTGGACACCTGGGTTCCTTAGGAGTTGAAAGGCCTCATGTGGCTTTGAGCCCAAACACCTGAGTGGTGGTGGTGGTGGTGGTGTGTGTGTGTGTGTGTATCCACCCCCCCAACCTGGCCCTCACCCCCACCCCCATGTCACCCAGGCCTGGCCCTGCAGTGCCTCAAGTGCAGCTTCACGGTCTTCGACCTGCCGTGTCACACGAGCCCTGTAACCTGTGAGGCCGAGCAGGCCTGTGCCATCATCCATGGGCATGCCGGTGAGTCCCTCGGGCCCAGGGGTTGGGGCCCATCTGGGCAGGGAGCAGAAAGCAGAGCAGGAGATGGAGCAGGGAGTAGAGCAGCAGATCTGGCAGGGAGCAGGGAGCCGAGCAGCAGATCAGGGAGAGGATACAGGGCGGGGAACAGAGAACAGAGCAGTGGACTTGACAAGGAACAGAGAGTGGAATAGTAGAGCAGGCAGGGAAGATGAGGCAGGGAGCAGAAGACACAGCATGAAGGACAGAGCAGGGAGCAGAGAGCAGAGCAGCAGATTGGGCAGAGTATGGTGAACAGAGCAGTGGATATGGTAAGGGCAGACAGCAGAGTAGCAGATCTGGCAGGGGGAAGAGACTAGAACAGTAGATGAGGCAGGGAGCAGAAAACAAAGCAGTGGATGGGGCAGGAGGTACAGGGCAGGGAGCAAAAAGCAGCAGCTGATGGGGCTGGGAGCAGAAAACAGAGCAGAAGACAGGCCATTTGGATGGGGCAGGGAGACAGCAGAGTAGGCAATGGGGCAGGGGTGACAGGGCAGCAAGTAGAGAGCAGAGCAACCAATGGGGCACAGAGCACAAGGCAGGGAGCAGAAAGCAGAACAGTGGATGGATCTGGGAGTATAGGCCAGGGAGCAGAAAGCAGAGTAGTGGATGGGGCAGGGGAATGGGATCCCAGTGGCTCTAGAGAAGGGAACAGAGCTAATTCAGCTGGGCCCCCTCCCATTGGTCCACCTCTCTGTCCATCCCACAGCTGGCAAAAAGTTAATCAAGAGGAAGAACTGCGTCCCTCTCTCCAAGTGCCACAGCAATGACACCGCCACCTACCTGGGCATCTCCTACGTCACCAGCTATGAGTGCTGCCATACCGACTTCTGCAACTCCCGGGCCGGTGCTGGGCCCCACCTCCCATTGGCCACGGGGCTAGTTGCTCTGGGGGTGTGGCTGGCCAGGGGCTTCTAGCCCTGCCCCCACCCCAGTCATGGGAAGAAACAGGTTGGGGTGGAGAAGTTGGGAGTGGAAAGAGTTTTACATTTTTATATTTTTGCAGGAGGGCAAAAAATCCAGTCTGAGGTTGCCTTTAAATAGCTCCGCCCCCTTTGGGCCTTAAAGGGGTGATCAAAAAAACAGATCCCGGTGTGGTTTTTCCAACCTTTCTCAGGCGCTGGGAGCCATAAGAACACAGGGCCAAGGGGAACGGGGTCTAGAGAGGGAGAGGCATCTGTTGGCAGGAAGTGACTTGACAAGCCCCGCTTACTTCCTGGTCATTTGGAGCTTGGATTCTTCCTTCTATTCCTCTCTCCTCCTCTTCTCTATTGGCTTCTTCCCCTTCCTTCCTTTCTCACTCTTGTTCCATGGTTGTTTTGATTCCTTCCGCCTTCATTCACCCTTTGTCTGTTCCTTCTTACTTTTCCTCCCCCTCTTCTTTTACACCTTGGTTCTTCCCCTCACCTGTTCACATCTTTTGGTTTATTCTTTCATTCCCCCACTCATTCATTCACATTTTTTTTTTGGTTCATGCCTTCTTGATCTCACTTGGTCTTTGTCCTTTCTTTCATTGACGTGTTTGCTCTGGGTTTCGTTCATTCTTTGCTCCTGTCATTTGTTCCTTCCTTTTGTTTTTTTCTTTCTTTCTTTTGATCACTTTATAATTCTAGTTTTTCTTCATTCCTTCTTTTCTCCTTTTTTTCTTTTGTTTTATTCATTCACTTATTCCTTTGTTCTTTTTTATCCTGTCCTCTGTGGGTTTGTACATTCATTTGTTCCTTCCTTCATTCTTTCTTTCCTCACTTTCTTTCTGTCATTCACTCGCTCTGGTTTTTTGTTCACTCATTTGTTCAGTCATTCATTTGTTCCTTCCTTTGTTCTTTTTTCCTCCATTCATACACTCAATCACTCTGACTTTTTTCATTTGTTCATTCCTGTGTGTTCATTTGTTCATCCATTCATTCTCACCTTCGTTCCTTTTCTTGTGGCTTTGCTCATTCACTTGTTCCTTCCTTCCTTCCTTCCTTTAGCCATTCGCTCTGCTTTTTTCTTTCCTTTTCTTCCTCCATGCATTTATGCACTCATTTATTCCTTCACCCATTCTCTGCTTCATTCTCACATTTGTTCTGGGTTTTGTTCATTCATTCTTTCTTCTGTGACTTTGTTCGTTCATTTATTCCTTCTTTCAGGCTTTCTTCCCCTCATTGTTCACTCTGGTTTCTTTCCCTTCCTCCACAGCTGTTTTCATCCATTTGTTCTTTCATCCATTCAGCCTTCTTCATTACTTCTTTCCTCTGTGAGTTTATTCATTCACTTGTCCCTTCATCCATTGTCTCCCCCCACTCACTCATTCCTTCACTCATTCATTCTCCCCTTCATTCAGTCATCTGCTCTGCTGCTTCTTTGTTCCTCTTTTCTTTTGTGGCTTTGTCTGTTAGTTTTGTCCTTTGTTCCTTCTTCCCTTCATTTGAGTTCTCTGGTTTTC